GGGCTGATTAGCCCAAGTTCACTTCAAAGCTTGAGTGTACTCTCAAGGACTATGATGCCCGTCTTGGTACCATTGACCAGGCCTACCAGGCTCTTGTGCGGCCAGTAATAGTCGCAGCTCGTGCTTGCATACCTCGTGTTCCATGTGGCCGCCCTCGTGGGCTGTCAGGAGGAACAGATTACGGTCTCAACTCGGCGTTGTGTTTCTTATCGTCGATTGCTTGCGTATCGTGACTGCCGTCGGCTAATGACTAAGACTATTCGTGCGTTCCACTTGGCGAGAGGCAACAGCATCCCTCTCTTCCAAGATCAATTCAGATAGGGTTTTTTCCCTGCTCAAGACAGTGAATGATGAACCTAGAGTGTCCACATTAAATGCCCCTATTAAGACTAAGAAAGGGTTAGTCTATTCTGATTTCGGACGTGCTCAGGCTCTCAATAGACATTATGCTATATGTGCTCGGACAGAGAAGTTGGCTATTCACTGGCTACTGCATGCTGAGCGAATTGCAGGTGAGGCTATGTTACTGGACTCGCAGCTTGTTTCCAGTTCTTTTACGTTACATGAACTTCACATCGTGCGGCCGGAGATGACGGTGTCTCTAACGAGATGATCAGTCACTTCGGTCCTCGGGCCCTGCGTGCCTTTCTGCAATCGGGCCCTCTACACTTCGCCACTACCCAAGGAATGGCTTAGAGCCTCGATTACCTTAATCCCCAAGAAAGGAACGGATTTGTCTGACGTGACTGCCTATCGGCCAATATCCATGTCCAGTTGCTTGGGCAAGGTGGCAGAGAGGATGGTTTCTGCTCAACTGACCTATCACGTTGAGTCGGCCGGTCTGTTGTCCCCTCGCCAATTTGGGTTTCGGGCGGGCAAGCGGGCTATGGATTTGGTTATTAGACTTTTGCAAACCATACGAGAGATTCATCCACAAACAACCGACTGCAGCAGTGTTTTTCGATGCTGAAAAAGCATACGATCTTCTGAATCCGTCTTTGCTACTTCTTAAACTTAAGCGGAAGGGACATGGCGGGGCACTTTACTTCTGGCTGCAGTGCTTTTTGCTTAACCGGCGTATTCGCACGAAGGTTAATGGGACGTTTTCGAATTTCCTGCCTCTGAAGCAGGGGGTACCTCAGGGGTCATCTCTTTCCTGTATGTTATTTATCATCTTTGTGGATGATTTACTCAAGATTGTTCACAGCGAGTCAGCGCTTTTCGCCGATGATTTGGAATGTCACAAGGCTGGTTGTACTTTGTTGCATCTACAGCGGTCCCTTCAGGCAGACCTGGACTCAATCGCCGAGTATTGTTGCACTTGGCAGCTCCGCATGAACCCCTCGAAGTGTTCATACTCCATTTTTTCTCTGGCCACTAAGGGAGCTGACTTTCGACTTCAGCTGACTTTGAACGGGGAATCTATCCCTTGCGAGGCTCACCCGTGCATTCTCGGTGTAACTCTCAACCGAAAGCTCATTTTGCGGACCTTGGTTTGGACTATTTGTTCAAAGTTTGACAGACGTTTTTATAGCAAACTGGCGAAGCTTGCCGGCACGAGTTGGGGCTCTTCAGCAGGTGTACTCAGATCTGTTTATTTGTCTTTGGTAAAGTCTACCATCGACTACTATGCTCCAATTTTACCGATGGCGTCGGCTCGTGCTTTCAAGGATTTGGAGGTACTTCACAACAAGGCAACCAGGTTCATCGCTGGACTGTCTTCCAATGCTTCCAACCTCGTCTTGTAGATTAGGTGATTCTCATATATTTCCTCATTGTATATTTTGTAATTGAGCATTTTAGATAGTTTCTGTTCTGAATAAAAGTTTTCTATTTTATTCAGGAGCTCTTATTTTCTATTTTATACCCTAGACGCAAGTTAGCGAGTCTACTTCCTGTCTTAGTACACTTTTATAGTTAATATTTAGATTAAACAGTCCAGACACCTACATTTTTAGAATCTGGGTGTTACGGTAAAGAATTAGTAGGCAAGCACGAAGCAAGACCCAGATGAGCTTGTATGTGAGTTATTGTTAGTATAACTATTATTTAACATTATTATTATTTTTTAATTATTATTGTCTTAGAGTAGTTACCATACTTGTGGTGGTTACGATAAAACGACATGTGTTTATTTATATATTATTTATGGTTAATATGTTATAAATGCAGTTCAAAAATATTTCTAACCCAAGTGACATGGAGAAGATCCAGTCACAGAAAGGGAAGGTTATTATATTGGTTGAAGGCTACAGATATCAAAAGGACAGAGCAAATGCTGATGGAAGTACGACATGGAGATGCTGCAAGAAAGATGGCTGCCGAGGACGGATGAAAAAGCTGAATGATGTTGTTCTGTCATCGGAACACAATCACGCTCCTGACCTGGCTAAAAACGAAGCAGCGGAAGTTGTTTCGGCTATACGAAAACGGGCAGTGGAAGGGGTGAAACAACCAATGCAGATTATACAAGCCCAAGGAGAATTTCGATGGAGTTAATTTTCTTGTTCCTATTTATTAAATATGGTTTTTCGATCTTGAGCTTGCGCTCTTATGTCGGCGCTCTTTTGGCGGTTCACCTGGTTATATATTGAATGGTTCCCTTTTTTCTTTTGTAAATAAAATTTATAAGCTGATTTTTTAATCTAAATTAAGGTTAGGGTTTAACCACTGTGGGTTTAGCCATGGTTGCCTGACACCCAATAGTTGATTAGCCTGGGGGTAGAGTTAGACATTAGGGATTTAGACCCCCACCCCCTGTCTGGGCTTAGATTTTATTGTGTGTAATTGGTGCAAATGAATATTGGTACGAGAAATATAATGAATGCATAGATTGGTGACACAAAATTGGTTGTCATGGTATGCAGGGAGTTCAGGCTAAGTAGTGAATGAGAGGTACTTCAAGTGATGTCGATGGCAAGGATAGTTGTATGTGGATTTAAATGATGACAGGCTTAACAGGTAAGCTGTTGTGACCTTCCTAGCAACTGGTGTGAGTTATGCTGGTTTTTTCAAGTATTGAGGTGATTTCCCAGGTTAATCAGAAGTCCTACAACCAGCATATTAAAGAAATACATACTTAAACAGAGCAAGTGCTGCCACAAATGAAGCACTATTGGCTCTAAGCTGAAGGTTCAGTGGCAGCATGGAGCAGCAGGCTGGTGAAAAAATGTGGGCCCGCTTGATGCATAAATATAAATTAAAATACAGTGTAGTATTTGATAGAGATACCAACACCATCAAGGCTATCCATAAGCTGGGCCCATATCAGGACCTCACTGTGGAGAAATGTGAGTGTGTGAATCATGTGGCCAAAAGGCTGGACACAGCACTCAGGAATGCGGTGGATGCCAAGAAAAAAGAGAAAGTAACACTTGGTGGAAATGGTGAGGGTAAACTTACAGGAGCAAAGGTTGCCAAATTAAAAAAATATTTCACTAAGGCGTTGCGCTCCAGGTCCCTCAGATGCAGAAAACCATTTGGGCCACACCTAACCATTGCTCATCCACAGATGAGGAACCTAACTGTTGTTTTTTTTTAAATGGGCTGCTGCTCAGGCCTTAGCCACTCCACAGCATGAAAAAAGGTGTCATCTTATATTTGTCCTTTGGTAGTAACAAACATTTGCATTGTTTATGAACACAAGACGACCTCCTACAACGCTGCTTAGATGGGAAGATTCAGAATGTGAAGGAGTATCGTGCTCTAATCTCGAGTCTGTGCCCCAAACACTATTTAGCTGGGAGTGGGAGACAAAAGAGACTGGAGGGAGCAGTTAGCATAGGTATAGGAGAATTCAAAATGGGTTCCAAGGTTACCCATGAATTTTCTGGGCCTTTTGAACCTTTTAACAGACTAATTTTGGTATTCTTTATATTATATTTAGCATGAACTTGTATGAAAGTAGAATACCTGGCCAATGGAAGGACTATTTGAGCGACTACTCATGTTTTCCCATGCTTTTTGTTATATCGCTCACTGATGTTAGGGGAGAGAATGAAGGGTATAAAAGGGGTGTGTAAAGTGGGCAGTGTATAGAAGAATGTAAGCCGTCACCATGTCACTCTGTTCCCATGTCACTCTGTTCGTGGATTGTTCTTGGATTACTATTACTCTATGGACCATTGTTGAATGTCTCAAACTCCATGTGTAAATATTTATATATGATCAAGTTATACTTTCATCAAGAAGTGTACTGTTAAGTGAATATTATGAATCCACAATAACAATGCTATGAACCACAGTGCATTGTTACAAACCTTTAAACAGGTTAAAAAAAACTGAAAGCTTGGCATGAGAAAGGATGCCATTAGGGTGGGAAAGGTTAAAAAAATTCTTAATTTCAAATGAAGTGTTTTAGAGGCAGGGTTAATGGAGTGGCCGAAGAAAAAGAGCTCGAATTAAGTTAGAGAGCGGACCACAAAAACTGCCAGCTGACACTGAGGTACAGTAGGGTAGCTTTCATCAATTCTCTTCATATTGTGCTTAGGCTTTGATTTTTTTCCTCCACCTGATGAATGAGGTACCATCAGGCTAAGTGTCGTAATTTTATGCCTACCAAGTTTGTGAAGTATTTATAGGTTTAAGAACATGCAATTGATAGTCTAAGTTGTTTGCTTTACCAATTTTAAAAAAATGGGGTGTTTACTATTTGGCTTCAAAATTTGTCGGTCTTCTTCGTAGCGAACACATTTTTAATTGTTATCAAAATATGGGGCACCCTTAATGGTTTCTGTGTAATGTAGTCACTAGGTATCTACATCAGTATCCTATTCATTTTATGCATTTTCAGTTTAGTTAGATATCTAACCTAATTTAAAGATGAAAAGACGCATGCAACATGAACCTGAAAAGATATTTATCTTTTCGACAAGCTGTGCAGATGTATGGAATACCTTTAACAACACTGCACTGCAAATTAAAGGGGAAAAGCCCCATTGTCGATAACAATACAACACTCTAGAACACAGAGGATGAGAACCACCAACTGGCTTTTAAAGTTAGCAGAAATGGGTTTTGGAAAGGCGCACAATGAGGTGAGAGAAGCGGCCAAAAGGATACTATCAAAGAGGGATACAACTGCACAAATGCCTGGCAGCAAATGGCTGTACAGTTGTTCAAGAGACATCCAGAGCTCTCAACAAGAACACCTGTGTCTCTTGAAAAAGAATGTGCACTGGTGACGCCACAAGCCATTAAAAGATGGTAATCTGAGTTTAAGATGTGTGTGGAAAAGTTGGATAAACCAGGTTGAATATTTAATGCTGACGAAACAGGTTTTGGGTTTGACATGACGGGCAGAAGAGTGCCAAACACGTGTACTGTGTCATTAAACAGAAAAACACAGGTCATGTAGTTGGTGTGCACAAGTGCTGCTGGGCAGTATTTTCCACCCCTTCTAATTTATCCATCACATAGCTATTGTGATTTAAAAGGTGTGTGATTGTGATTTACAAGGTGCCATCTAAACGAGTGTAAAAAGTGACTGAACTGTGTGAATGAAAGTCTGATTTATTGAGTGTAAGCTATAATGCTAAGTTGCAGTTTGCTCTGCTATCTTATTTTCAACGTGTATGTGATACACATATTCAACTGTGGATTTATTTCTTGTGTAAATAAAGTTAAAATTTTTATGAACTCGAAATCAGTGTCATCTACAAGATCACATGTACTAAAAGAAGAGGTCAAGATTATAAAATCTGAAACCCCTTCGCACCAAACAAATGTCACACACCAAATGTCATTATCACACAAACCAAATAATTGTATTACACATTAAATGACATGACACTAATCAAAAGACAATATTACAAACCTAAATATCACAAGGTTTCAATGACATACTGGAGTTTTTTGATGGCCCTTTCAATGTCCTCATCCTTAACATCATTATGAGTGACATAACGAACTTGTGTCCTAGAGAATGGCAGCATTAAAACAGATATCCCTTGTTTGAGTGATTTCCTTTCTTCCTCCGTCACCTGGTGGAAAAAATAACAGAATTAAGAAGCAAAGAGGATTTTCTTTAGTCAAACACTACGATTCATCCATATTCCCCCAAACTATATATAGAACATTTATCTATAATAATAGTTTCGCTGTCTGTCTGTGTATCTGACAAGAACGCTCTAGAGAAAACATAAGAAAAAATTCTATCTGACAAGAACGCTCTAGAGAAAATACAAGCAATTTAAAAACTCTCACAGTGAAACGAAAGACGAAGTATGACGTCGCCACATTTAAAACAGAGTAGAAAATAATCTCAAGGCGGAAAGTGCACACAGTAATATAATGACGTCATTGATTATCGAGTATAAACATTGAATAAATAAAAAGGAAATGTCTAATCTAAATGGTTTGCGTGAAGAGTTTCTTGCATACAATTCTTCGGGTAGGGGCGAAGCCCCACCCCACGCGTAAGAACGTCTGAGCCCCCCCCCCCCCCTCCCCAACTCAAAAGAAACTTCTTCATTGATACTCTATAATAAAATTACCGCCTAATTAATGTGTCTAATCTAAAAAGTGGTTTTCTTGCAATTTCTTTAATGCAATTCTTCGGGTAGTGGCTAAGCGCGACACCAGTGTTTCTTTCAGACTTTTTCCTCCCCGGAGAGGGGTGGGGGTACTTGGAATTTTCGGGGGCGGGTGTAGAATTTTTGGGGAGGGGCGGACACTGGAAAAAGTATATAATTATATTTCGTTGAATGGAACGGTAAACATGTTTTTTTTAGAGGGGGTGGGTGGGGGGTGGGGGGTGTGTGTGGGGGGGGGGGGAGTGGGGGGTGGTTTTAATTTAGACTTTTTCCTCCCCGGAGAGGGGTGGGGGTACTTGAAATTTTCGGGGGCGGGTGTAGAATTTTCGGGGAGGGGGCGGACACTGGAAAAAGTATATAATTATATTTCGTTGAATGGGATGGTAGACATGTTTTTTTTAGGGGGGGTGGGGGGGGGGGGGGGTGGGGGGTGGTGTGGGGTGAGTGGGGGGGGGTTTAATTTAGACTTTTTCCTCCCCGGAGAGGGGTGGGGGTACTTGAAATTTTCGGGGGCGGGTGTAGAATTTTCTGGGAGGGGGCGGACACTGGAAAAAGTATATAATTATATTTCGTTGAATGGGATGGTAGACATGTTTTTTTTAGAGGGGGTGGGGGGGGGGGGGGGGGTGGGGTGAGTGGGGGGGGGGGTTAATTTAGACTTTTTCCTCCCCGGAGAGGGGTGGGGGGTACTTGAAATTTTCGGGGGCGGGTGTAGAATTTTCTGGGAGGGGGCGGACACTGGAAAAAGTATATAATTATATTTCGTTGAATGGGACGGTAGACATGTTTTTTGGGGGTGGGGGTGGGGGGGGGGGGGGGGGGTTGGGGGTGGGGGGGGTGGTGTGTTTTGGGGGGTGGGGGGGTGGAGGTGGTGTGTGGGGGGGTGGGTTGGTTTTAGTTTAGAGAAAAGAGACAGCACTATCAACCTAGCGCCCGGTGTATCCTTCCTCAACGGGCCATTTTTCTCGTCTATAATTATAGTTTCGCTGTCTGTCTGTGTATCTGACAAGAACGCTCTGACAAGAACGCTCTAGAGAAAACATAAGAAAAAATTCTATCTGACAAGAACGCTCTAGAGAAAACACAAGCAATTTAAAAACATGCATAGTATTTCGAAAGACGAAGTATGACGTCGACACATTTAGCATGTAGTTGAAAATAATCTCAAGGCGGAAAGTGCACACAGTAATATAATGACGTCATTGATTATCGCGTAAACATTGAATACAAAGGAAATGTCTAATCTAAATGGTTTGCGTGAAGAGTTTCTTGCATACAATTCTTCGGGTAGGGGCGAAGCCCCACCCCACGCGTAAGAACGTCTGAGCCCCCCCCCCCTCCCCAACTCAAAAGAAGTTTCTTCATCGATACTCTATAATAAAATTACCGCCTAATTAATGTGTCTAATCTAAAAAGTGGTTTTCTTGCAATGGGACGGTAGACATGTTTTTTTTTGGGGGGGGGGGGGTGGGTGTGTGGGGGGGGGGTGTGTGTGTGGGGGGGGGGGGTGGTGTGTGGGGGTGGGTGGGGGGTGGTGTGTGGGGGGGTGGGTTGGTTTCAGTGTTTCTTTCAGACTTTTTCCTCCCCGGAGAGGGGTGGGGGTACTTGAAATTTTCGGGGACGGGGGTAGAATTTTCGGGAAGGGGGGCGGACACTGGAAAAAGTATATAATTATATTTCGTTGAATGGGACGGTAGACATGATTTTTTTGGGAGTGGGGGGTGGGGGGGGTGTGTGGGGGGGGTGGCGGGTGGTGTGTGGGGGGTGGGGGTGGTGTGTGTGGGGGTGGGGGTGGGTGGTGTGTGGAGGTGTGTGTGTGTGGGGGGGGGGGGGGGTGGGGGGGGGGGGGGGGGTGGTTTCCTCATCGATACTCTATAATAAAATTACCACCTAATTAATGTGTCTAATCTAAAAAGTGGTTTTCTCGCAATTTCTTTAATGCAATTCTTCGCGTAGTGGCTAAGCGCGACACCAGTGTTTCTTTCAGACTTTTTCCTCCCCGGAGAGGGGCAGGGGGTACTTGAGGTTTTCGGGGGCGGGGGTAGAATTTTCGGGAAGGGGGCGGACACTGGAAAAAATATATAATTATATTTCGTTGAATGGGACGGTAGACATGTTTTTTTGGGGGGTGGGGGTGGGTGGGTGGGGGTGGGTGGAGGTGTGTGGGGGGTGGGGGTGGTGGGGGTGGGTGGTGTGTGGGGGGTGGAGGTGTGTGTGGGGGGTGGGGGTGGTGTGTGTGTGGGGGGGGGGGGGGTGGGGGTGTGTGGGGGGGGGGTGGGATGGTTTTAGTTTAGAGAAAAGAAACAGCACTATCAGCCTAGCGCCCGTTGTACCCTTCCTCAACGGGCCATTTATCTAGTTTACACATAGTAATAGAAGTTTTGTTGGTAACAAGATTTTTAAGACAGTGGAAGCGGGAAATACATTTTATTTATGTTTTCTTCTTATATCGTTAGCAGTTCATTTTCTGTGTAGGAATTTTCTTTTTTCTAAATTTACATGAAATACAATTGGTGAAATTAAAATTAATTAAAATGCCTATGCCGTTTAATTGGGCTTTATTTATAATGTGATATTAAAAAAGTAATTTCATTGATTAACTATTTAATCTAGCATGTTTTTGGGATTAACGCAATTTTTATTTACTAGTAGTAAACAATTAAGTGATAAGTTGAGTAGAGAATCAAATAGATACAGATGTTAAGAGATTACTGGATCAAGTCACCATAGAGGATTAAGTAAGGTTTTACCATTTTCAATCTCTCAGAAAATTGAACTGGGGTAACTTTCCCGAGTAGGTTGATCATCACAATGTTGGACTGAACACCTTTCAAGTCAACGTTACAGATGGGGTTACCTGCCATTTCTTCAATACCTAAGGGGAACATATTTCAAAAAGGCTTTTATAAAGGTTATGCTATATAATCTCTTCACTTAAATATACAGGCAGTAGGCAAGTTTAGCAAAAACACTAATAATTCAAACTTAATGTATCTGGGAAGTAACAGCATCAAATAATTTGAAATAAGTTTTGCATATTTATATACCGGTTCATAGTTTAAGTGAATAAATGAAAGAAATTTCTGTTCCAGAAAAATATAGTTTTTTTTTAAATAAATTTTTAAAAACAAATGGCTTTTGATATATTTTAAGTGGGTAAAGTTTCCATGGACTTTCTCAAATAGTAATAAAAAACTGCAATTGGTGCCACATCAAGCCTTAAGAGCCTAATTGTAATTGGAAAGTTTTAGCCTATCAGGTGCCACATCCAGCCTTAAGAGCCTAATTGTAATTGGAAAGTTTTAGCGTATGTAATTGACCAGATTAGCTCAAATTAGAAAGGTCTTCTATTTATTTTAAACATTTTGGAATTAAAACCTTTATAATAATAGGCTTTTAAATGCATTGAAATTTAGACAAACTTGTATTCTTTAATAGCTTGTTGCTCATGAGATGTATTACAAATTTTACAGACCAGAGCTTGCATTAAAGAAAGCAAATTTATTATCCTATTTTCAGTGCATTTAAAGTTATTATATTTGTTTTGTTTTGCCAATTTTAAGTATTTGATTCTAAATGATCTTGACACCGCCGTAGGCTGCGAATATTTGCTTTAAACCTTTACAGTCCTGTGTACCAGCAGCCGACAAGACTGTATAGTATGTTTATTTACACGTAATAACAGATTGTCTAATTCTTAACGAGTTTATGAAGATACAGGCAGAAGTGGGAAATAATGAGTTTTATTTATGTTATTTTCTTGTTCTACCACCAGTGGTTCATTTTCTAAAATTTAAGGACTATAATTTTCTCAAAATTACGGGCAGGATAATTAGTGAAATAGAATCGAATTAAAATGCCTCTGCATTTGAATCGTAAATCAGCAGATGTAATGTGGTCCTCTAGCACTTACCCTGAGCAAGACGATATGCTCGACTGTGGTCCTCTGATAGTCTGTCCACCATGGTTTCCAATGCTACTATCATCGGAGCTGCTATAACCCCTGCCTGTCTCATCCCTCCACCTAAGGCTTTCCTGGCCCTTCTTGCCCTGTGATAATCAATTATTCACCTAATTACACCAAAACATGCTGGTGACAGGAAGTCTGAAAACAGAAACTGACAGATATTAGCAGCAAGAAAGACAAGACTTGCATAGCTGTGACATAGACAGGCAAGACTTACATAGCTGTGACAAAGACAGACAAGACTTACATAGCTGTGACAAAGACAGACTTACATAGCTATAAAATCCTTGCTACCAGCTACAGCTGATCCCAATGGACAGCACAGACCCTATGCAAAAAGTAAATGATAAATTAGCCTGACCAGTCCAGACAACATTGTAAAGACAAGGCTTTCACTTCACAAAAATTGGCACTTAACTAGAAAGGTTCAAAAGGGTTGTAAAAATTGTTCACTTGGCTGGAAAGTAAGAAATTGCTCACCTTACTGAAGGCAACAGAAACTGAATCAGCATTTTTGCAGATATCTGACACTGGAATATTCAGGGCTGTAGCAGCATTGAACAGCCTGGCTCCATCTAGATGCAGGAGTAGACTGTGCTGTTGGGCTAAATCTTTAACCTGCGTGAGAATTAAGCACTATATTGCCAAAATATCAAATTAAGTAGTAAGTGTTTAAAAAAATAAGATGTAATTGAAATATAATAGCTAAAATGTTTAACAGCAAACAATTCAACTTGTTATGCCAATGGAGAGATGTCCTGAGAATAGCTTGAACTGTGTTCAATATAGCCACAAAAAAGCAGGGTGTGATCGAAATACAAACAGGAGCAACTGGCCACAGGTATAGAACTTATTCATTTTTCTTGTTACTGTTGATATCTGTTTCTATGACTTGTAGTTTTAGCTTTCTACATTTATAAATTAACTCACAATAATGCTGTCTACTACCTAGGTCCTCTAAAGAGATCATTCACTTATCATATATACCAACATTTGTCTAAGGGAAAAAAATTACACAACTGGAATGAACTCAAACACTTTCCCATGTATTCCGAAGTATATCTTAGAACTTAAAACATGTAACAGTTACTAGGACAGAGAGCACAAGATCTTTAGATGTAAAATGTGAAAACCTGTTTGATGTAATCTAGGGAAAGAACCTTCCCTCCACATCTGTTGTGTGTGTTCTCAAGGCAGATGACCTTTGTCCAGGGTTGGTGAACGTCGTCTATTGGGCGTATACAGGCCTCAATGTCTTGTATGTCCATAGAACCATCTGGAAGGTTTGGTACACATTTACCTTGTATCCCTGCCAGCTAAACATTGACAAAACTTGTACAAATGAAAGTTTATTGTTTATATATTGATTTTACTCTATTACAATAAGACCTGGCTTAAACCCCACCTTAGTTTCATCAGAGTGCCCACACTATTAAAAGCAATGAACAACCTGTCTACCACAACTTTGCTATGCAAAAAACAATTCTGTACCAACCTGGGCTAGAGCAGCTACTTCATACTTGTGAATATGAGAATCCTCACCCAATATGACCTCACTGAACCGTCCTGAACAGTGCACTAAAACTAAAAGCATTTTAAGATATGCTGAAATCCTAAACAAAAGCATAATAAGACATTACAGTACAGGAAGGCAAAAGAATACATTTTAGCATTAAAGAAAATATAATTAATAAACTTTGAAGGAACACCATTAGTAGCTGAAGACTAGTATAATAATGAGATGGGCTTAATGTATGATCGTGATCTACTGCATTAAAAAAAAACCTTCAAGAAATGAAAAAGCTAACTGAAAATAATATGAAACAGAAAATAAAAAAATATGAGATGGACAAAGAACTGACCATCACCTGCTAACCTGATGATGTATTTGCCATAGTACATGTTGGCATTAGCAAAGCTTCTTCTTTTCCTAAAACACTTGCACACATTTCTTGAAACTCTGTAAACAAATATTTTAGTTAATGAACTTCTGAGAGGTGTAAGCATTATCCAACAATCATGCTTAGGCATCACAATATAGAGGACTATGCATTTAAATAAAGAATAGGTCTGTTTGCATTAGTTGGTTTAAACTAGTTTTTAAGCCCTGTTTATTTTAGTTTATAGTAAATGGTAGGCCTACATGAAAGGTTATCTGAAAAATGATGCTATTAAAAAGAGCTCACTATTCACAGTTGGATCTTCACCAAAAACATCATCCCCAACAACTGCATTTTTCATAGCTTCTCTCATCTGGGGTGTAGGCTTGGTCAAGGTGTCGCTTCGAAGGTCAACTACATATGATCCCAAGGAGGAAAATGTTCTGCACTGTTTCAGCATGGTCATCAAGTTAACCTTCAACATGATTATTGGTCTTGGAAGTGCCATTGTTAGTGTACTGTACATCAGGCAATATGGGTTTTTTCACTGCTAAGAGAAAATAGATTTAGCTGCAAAAAAAAGAGAATAGATCTAGTCACTATTGTAGGCCCCTACGTGTTTGTACAATTTAAAAATATGCCACATAGTATTGTCACATAGGCCCACATGTACCATGTATGTATAATCATGTGTATAGTGTATATGTAGGTCTATTTTTAAAGGCTTTTTTTTCTGGATGTATTTAAAATTTGTAAAGCTATGCCTATGCACTTGGATATTTTGATTTGACCCTTTGAATCCCGGACAAAAAGTCCCCTTTAAATTCACTAGAAACTCATTAACTTTTATTTCATTCTGATCAGTACACTGACAGTTAAAGTAGGGATTGGTGCAGTGTTTCTTCCAGACTTTTTTCTCGTGGCGGGGGGGGGGGGGGGGGGGGGGGTGGGGCGAACACTAGTAAAAGTATGTTTTCCTTATGGCTATAACAACTACTGTTGTTAATTGATGCAGCTGTTAATGAAAATATCCCACCGAATTTTTTATAGTTGTATTTTTGGTAACTAAAGTAGGCCTAAAAAGTTTAATAAATAATTTTTTAAAGGCAAAAATAAACCACAATTTGGTTGTTTAGCCTAGAGTCTAGGTTCCTACATATTTTATTACACAAAATGACAACAGTCATCATGTGTGAACTAGATCTAGATCTATTCTAGATTTTTTTTTTTACAAATCTAGATCTAGAAATCTAGAGCTAGTCTAGATTTGATATTCTATTCTTCTAGATCTAGATTTATTAAGTAATTTAGATCTTTTATAATATTTAGGCCTATATTTAATTTAGAAGTAGGCCTATCATCAAAATCATGTCAACTCGTGTTTTTTTGTTTCGGTTGAGTTTATATTTAATTAATAATTAGAGTCTAGATCTATATTAGTTTATACTTTATACTGTAACTATAGGCCCCCTAATAAAATTCGCTCAACTGGAGGTGAAAATGAAGCGGCGAATAAAATACTAAAAATAGCGAATAAAATAGATCTAGATTTCTAGATCTAGTTTCTAGATCTACGCTAAAATGGAGTTTTGCCTTGTGTCAGTGTGGCTAACTCATGATGAGAGTTAAAAGATCTAGATCTAGATTAGTATCATCTAGTCTAGATTCTAGTTAGATCTAGACTCTAGATCTACAGTACTAGATCTAGATATCTACTAGATTTTCTAAATCTAGATTTAGATTCTAGATCTACATGTCAATTTTATATTTGTCATGAGTGACAGATACTCAGGCCTAGCCTTGTCCGGGTCTTTAGTGCCCTTTAGCCTAGAATTAGATTTTCTACATTCTAAAGTAAAGTCTTTCTTTATCATACTTTAATAATTTTAGAACAACTCTATTCCAAGCACTAGACATAGAATCTAGATTTTTTTTTATCTAGACAGTTGTAGATCTAGAGTTGATATGGACTGTATGGCCTAGAGTCTAGCGGGCAGTTTTTTTTTTTTAAAAACAAGCACCTGTGTTGGCGACTCTCCCTAAATGTAAACCTTACGCACGAGAGTTGACAGGCCTATCCAATCACATTGTTGGGTTGCCGCTTGCCGCATATTATTCAAGAAAAGCAAGCCAAACGAAGATATATCTTGTAATAAAAGTAGGATTACAAATTTACATATATATCTAATTCAAATGTTAAACGCATACCAGCTTGGTTTTGAATAAGTGAACATACCTTAAGCTTAAACAACTGAAATTCGGTTTCCAAAATTAACAAATAGATCCATACGTACTTTTTTTGTATTTGCATTAGGCCTATTTACTTTACTGTTTATCTGTTTTTGTTAAAGGATAGTGAAAAATTGGACTGGCTTTAGTTATTGTCAGATAAAGAACCGTGAACGATAAAAAAGAATGGCAGAGAGCACTCAAGCCAGTAATCTGTCAGGGTAAATCGGGGTTAAGTGCACGTAGTAAGGGAGGGGAGGGGGTTGAATAGGAGACAGTAGGCAAGCATGAACAGCTATCTGAGCAGTGGCATTTGCACTGAGTGCTAAATCCTAGTGATAAAAACTATCTCAATTAAATTACGATACAATCATTGATCAAGGCGCGCTGGTGGCTTGCACTGATTTTAGTTTCAAAAGTGTTACTGTGTTATGAAGTGAACGTTGAATGGTGAGGGTTTGAGAATATGTGTGTTGTGAAATAATTTTGTATTAATAAAATAATGTGACTTTGTGACAAGGTATGCAAGGATGTGACGTTGTTTGGTGTCGTTGTTGCTGAAGAGGAAGAATAGAGCAGTCTGCATATACATACATATGTATTATATATATATATATATATATATATATATATATATATATATATATATATATATATGTATATAAATATATATATATATATATATATATATATATATATATATATATATATATATTTATATTTATATATATATATATATTTATATATATATATATATATATATATATATATATATATATATATGCGTGTTATATTGAAAAGGAACCACCACCACGTCAACCTCGATCCTAAGTAGTTCATAACAACGCCATTGGTTAAAAAGCGCGAAACAGGTTCCTCATATTGTTTTAAGTTCTTTAATAAGCAAAATGGAGTGATAATGATACCAACATTAAGTTCTTTAATAAGCAAAATGGAGTGATAATGATACCGACATTAAGTTGTTTGAATACCCTGACCTATTAAACCCCTCCACCTCCCCACCCCTTTTAGTCTTAGTTTTATCTAGACAACGTTTATCACATTTTGACCGAGTCTAAGGGACTCGACGCCCGAATCCGACTCTTCAGCCTAGATTTTTGTTTTTAACATTCTCACAAAGGGAAAACATGATGAATGTTATATTGATCTTCTCACTGCTGTGTTTATCTGCCACTAGTTTGTTCCATGTAACACAAGGTAACCCTGGTAATGTTGTTTCTGCATCACACACGTTCACATTCAATTTAAATTAACAAAGATATTTTTCTGTAGTATCCTTGTTACCGTGATATAAGTCTTCCATGTATGGTTAACATGACTTGATTTAGTTTACATTAATTTAGCTATCTTGGATAAAACAACTATTGTTTTCTTCTTAAGCTCGTTGAACTTACTATTGTTATTTATATTTGTAATAAACTTGACATTGATTTGCCATTGACTTGTTATTTTGGCCTCTCGTCTGTAATAAACTTTACATTGATTTGCTATTCTTGATCTGCCACTAAACTTTACATTGATTTGCTATTGACTTGCTATCCTGACCTTTGACCTGCTCATCTGTTCCACGTCACGTGACTTGTTAGCGGCCACCACCCCCTGTTTACCTGACCAGTTCACGTGCACCAACAGTCGCACGTGCATCCAAGTCAAGTACGTGTGTGACGGCGATGACGACTGCGGCGACGGAGAGGATGAGCGAAATTGTACCAGCAGAGGTGAGTGTTGTCACGAGATACATCCCTCACGTTTAACGCGCGTGTGGTCGAGTGGTAGAGCGCCGGACAACACCGGACGCTGAAACCTGGTGAGCAGTCTTTGGCTTGTGTCACCTAGTGGTGTCGAGTGACGCCTGAGACTCTCCGGCCCAGAACTGTCGGATAAAGTCTGAGACTCTCCGGCCCAGAACTGTCGGATAACGTCTGAGACTCTCCGGCCCAGAACTGTCGGATAAAGTCTGAGACTCTCCGTCCCAGAATTGTCGGGAAGAGGCGATTTTGCATTATACTTAATTCCACTACACCGAGACAGTGAAGATTCATTTACGCCACACCAGATGTATCTTACAGGTGAAAATATCAATCAATCAATCAATCAATCAGTCAATCAATGTTTATCTCGTCACCAGGGTCCGGTTGTGGCGACCCATCTCTACAGACTGGGTCACACGGGTCACTGACCAGCATGTATTACCCACACAACTACAGCCTCAATGCCGACTGCAAGTGGCACATCAACGTCGCCAGCCAGTGGGTAGGTCTTGTTAGGTCTTAACCTAGTGGGTAGGTCTTGTTAGGTCTTAACTTAGTGGGTAGGTCTTGTTAGGTCTTAGGTTGGTGGGTAGGTATTGTTAGGTCTTAACTTAGTGGGTTGGTCTTGTTAGGTCTTAACTTGGTCGGTAGGTCTTGTTAGGTCTTAACTTAGTGGGTATGTCTTAACTTGGTGGATAGGTCTTGTTAGGTCTCAACTTAGTGGGTAGGCCTTGTTAGGTCTTAACTTAGTGGGTAGGTCTTGTTAGTTCTCAACTTGGTACATCAATGTCGCCAGTTGGTAGGTCTTGTTAAGTCTTAACTTAGTGGGTAGGTCTTGTTAGGTCTTAACTTAGTGGGTAGGTCTTGTTAGGTCTTAACTTAGTGGGTAGGTCTTGTTAGGTCTTAACTTAGTGGGTAGGTCTTGTTAGGTCTTAACTTAGTGGGTAGGTCTTGTTAGATCTTAACTTAGTGGGTAGGTCTTGTTAGGTCTTAACTTAGTGGGTAGGTCTTGTTAGGTCTTAACTTAGTGGGTAGGTCTTGTTAGATCTTAACTTGGTTGTTAGGTCTTGTTAGGTCTTAACTTGGTACATCAATGTTGCTAAGCCCACGAGTCTACTTTGTACTTTACGACATAGCCCCACCCCCGCCTTAGACAATTTTAAGTGCTTCCCCCCCTCCCCCTATTCTCGGGGGGAAAAAGTCTGTAAAAAACACTGAAAATAAAGTTCGTGTAGTGTTTGGCTCTCTGCAGTCCTCTCAAGGTGAGTTCCAAAACGGAACTTCCCTGTTTTAAGCTTGACTGTCTTTAGTTATAAATGTAAAATGTCTGTGTTGTGTAATTATGTAACGATTTTTTTTTGTTTTTGAAAAATAAAAAGTTCTAGCCTAAAATTGTTATATATGAATCCTTTAGGAGAGGGTGAAAAATATGAAAAGAAAATTAATTAGATGTTTAATTTACGACTAATAAGATTGTATGTCTACTAACCTTAAGTATTGCAATCTACAACAGCTACAGATGTATTTGTTTTTCAACTTGATAAGGCTAAAAAAAACCTACCAAACTATTTTGTTTAGAAATTCTGCTCTATATAATTGTTACAATAGCAAATAATAACTTAATGTTGTATAATGTTGTATAATGTTGTATAGGTAAGCGGTCAACCTAAGGTGCAGGAATTTGAAATGAATGTAAAGTTAAGCAAAGAATTATCTCCCATTTGAAAATCCAAATACCAAAATTTTATTCAAGGGAAATAGCTTTCGCGAGAATTGCTAAATCCAGTGGCGTAGCGAGGTCGGGTGTCACCCGGTGCAGCACTTAATGGTGTCACCCCCCCCCCCCCAGAGGCATAGAGACCCTTCCCAGGGACAAACTTTCAAATTTTCGATTTGCACCCCCCCCCCCCCTCAAACTTTCGATTTGCACCCCCCCCTCGAGTTTTTCTCTATATATTTTGCTATTTTTTGCCTTGGTGTCACCCCCCTAAATGGTGTCACCCGGTGCGGTCCGCACCCCCCGCCCCCCCCCCCCCTCGCTACGCCCCTGGGTAAATCAACCAAGTGTAACTAAGACATGCTTGAAAAACACAATTAAAAGCTCTAAATTTCTTTAAGTAATAATTATAACAAATCTTTTATATTAGCTATGTAGCCTTGTAAAAGCAATATATTTTACTTATTGAATACTTAACTCTAGGTTTTTTTGAAAGTCTAAAAAATGGTAGCTTGATTACAACATACTTCTATTCAATTTTGATGACACACTTTTAATTGTAGTGTAATCATCCATATACATAAAATTTTGGATTCCCTAAATAAAGGGACGTCTTTCAAAATATCAAACACGGATAATATAGATTCCTAAAAAAAAAACTAATGATTTTTAAACTAGAGAACACCTGCCTAAGTACCTTTCTCGTGTGTTCCGTACTGAATTGAAATCATCTAACTTACGATAAACTCGACTACTTGATATACTTACTACATTCACAACACCTATCAAACTTCGATACCTAAACATAACTAGACTCGATGCTCCAGAACTACGACACAAACTCGTTTAACTTCACCAAGCTCTACAAAGGATACTCCAAATCAACAACGATTTCACTGGACCTACTACTACACTTTAACAGTCAATAACATTCGATACGTTAATACCACAATAATCAATCATCCCGAACTTCAGAACTACGATACTTCATCACCTGCATTCTCATTTCTCTATTACCTATCAGATTCCACTAGACCTTCAACTACAAAACAGCCGAATAAAACACTTCAATACTTTATACATAAGAAACCGTATCAGAAACAGCCATCCGTCGTTACTCCCAAATCTAAACTATTGATCAAAATTTACCAAACAAGTACAATACTTTGAATCAGTGGGGTAGCGATGGGGGGGGGGGGGGGGGGGGGGGGGAGGGTTGTGGACCGCACCGGGTGACACCATTTAGGGGGGGGGTACCACCAAGGCAAAAAAATAGCAAAATATATATAGAAAAACGATAATTCCACTTAATTAAGTGATTAATTCGAGTGTTAAATAGTCTTTTTAAAGCAAATTTGACAAATCCCGAGAAAGGGTGGGGGGTGCAAATCGAATGCTTGAGGGTGAGGATGTGCAAATCGAAAATTGAAAGTTTGTCCCCGGGCGCTGCGAAAGGTCGCTACGCCTCTGGTGGGTGACACCATTAAGTGCCGCACCTGGTGACACCCGACCTCGCTACGCCACTGCTTTGAACACCCCGTCAATACAAAATTTTATACACCAGGGCAGATTTCTAATTCAAAGTCAGAGAAAACGAGACTTACAAGCCCTATTAAAATTAAATAACGTTTTGAAACATTCGAAATTTAAATTACGAACTTATTTAATAGTTTTCTACATCACTTGTATGAGGGTAGTGATCTCCCCTAAACTTTCTCGAATATTCTTATATAACACTATGGTGGATGACAATATAGACTCGGAATATAGACAATATTTTTAATCCATTTTAATTAATTTTACATTTTTTTAGGCCCATTGTTTTGTAAACTACCTTACAATACGTGAACATTATTAGATTACAACCTATTATTACAGTACATTCTTCTGGAGTTTGTCGACACTTTTGACCTGGAAAAACCCCGACACAATCAATGTGTCTACGATGGAGTTAGTGTCTACCAAGACGATCCTCTTCTATTTGTGGGTTTGTACAAGTTAATTCGTGGTTTTTATAGTAACTATGTTAAGCGAAGGACTTAAAGAAAAGCTTCTGATTTCTCTCAAATAGAAGTATAAAGCAAACAGGCATATTAGGATTCGTAAAATTTAAATACAAAATGTATTGATTTTTGTGACAATTTTATAAGTTTTATGAATTGTAGCCCATATAGCCTCGTGACTGTCTTTAATAGCACCGATCTCTGAATGCTCTCGTCGGCGATAGTAAAATATTCTGGTTGACTTGAATAGCACGTAATTTTATACAGCTTTTTATTCATATATATTTTTTGTTGTTGAAAATAAAAATTAGCGTTTTTACAAAGTGGGGAAAAAATCTAGCTGTTTGGGAAGTCATTTTTCTTTTATGAAAGCAGAAAGTGCATCGCTGTAGTTAGACTTATATACATTGAAGCTATTTTAAATATTCTCTATGTAGTAAAAGGTTGGTTTATTTATTTTATTTTATTTTTTAGTTATTTATAGAAAAATCAACAATGACTCACTTTACAGGTCGATTTTGTGGGACATCTACACCTAACCCTATCTTGGTCAACAGCAGTAAGGCCATCGTTGAGTTTCAAAGTGACGGACAGACAACAGGCCACGGTTTTAAACTCAGTTGGACAGCAGTTAAAGGTAAATATTATTTCAACATGTAGGGTATTTAACTCGTATCATCCTAAGCGTGGTATAAATAACGCGGTTACGTCCCTTCCAACAGCCCCGGCCTCAACTCGTGCTAATACAGCAGATCAGTGCGCACAAGTCATAGACTACGGTGGGGACCTGGGTCACGTGCTATCACCAGACTACGACATCGGCCAGCCCTACCCCGCCCCTCTTGACTGCAGGTATCTTTAAGTTTCCTCATACAGGTAGACAAAATCGACCTTTGGAAAACACCGACCACTGTTCCGTTTACAATCGCAGCTTGCCTGACTCCGCATATCGTTCACCGATTTCCATTCAGTTAAGTCAAGCGTGAATGTAAACCAAGCAATGATGTAGAACAAAACATAACGGCATATACTAATGTGCGTGTGCAGCTTAGAGTAGCATCCACCACAACGAGCTAATTTCAATGTGTGAGTTAAAGTGGATTACAGAGCTACAAATATAAATGTTAAAAGCTAAAGGGTATTCTAAGTAGGCCTTCAACCACATACTAGGTGGGCCAATATACAATTTAGACCTAAAGGATGGTTATATAAACAAGGTTACATGTTGAACGTTTCTTTACAGCACAAAGTAAACATGGCTATCATTTTTACTTGCGTTTGTTTCAAGGTATAATGCCATAATAGTCTACACATCATTCAATGTTCTATGCAAGTATGGAAATAAAAACTATGAGGTTTGATCGTGCTAAAGGTTAGAAATTGTGGTTGTTTACTCATCTCAATCATCGATTGATTTCGTCCTTAGGTGGATTTAGGGGGTGGCTTGTATAAGTTTTCACACCCCCCCCCCCCACCCGCCAAATATTTGAAAGAAATTTGGGATAACTGTTGGCTTAACATGAGTTAGCACATATCTATTACTTACAAGATATCTTAAATAAGATGTTCTGTCCTTCATATTTTTTAGTATACAACTTCACCTAGTTAAGATAAATACTCTCGATTTTCTATAGATAAAAAAAATCAAATTTCAAAGTCTGAGGTATGGTTTTACGAACCTCAACTACACCCTCATTACAATAATAACGAGGGCACGCTAACTCAGTTTTGTCGTGTTGGGCGGAGGGGTGGGGTATGGTGGATGTATGTCAGATACTAGCATGACGGTTAAGATCCTAATGAGGGATCCGGATCAAACTGGAAACTACCTTCCTTACATCTGACCTTGGGTAGGCTGTAAGTAACGTCATTTGAAGAGAAACCAAAATAGATTTTCCATTTTAACGGTTCTCGCTTCAAACTCTACGGGGGTTTAAAAAAATGTCAGTGTTGTAAAGTTAACTTATTTTAAATTGTTAAATTAAATGAACAAACTGGTGGATCCATTATAGTATGTTTACGTCATACTTAGCTATTCTTATGACATTAGATAGTTTTCACGAGAGGGGTAACACTCACTAGAAGGGGACACCACCCGCAAGAAGGGGACACCACTCGCAAGAAGGGGACACCACTCACGTCACCAGAAGGGGATTCCACTCACAAGAAGGGGGACACCACTCACAAAAAGGGGACACCACTCACTTCACTTGAAGGGGACGCCACTCACAAGAAAGGGACACTACTTATAAGAAGAGGGACACCACCCACAAGAAGGGGACACCACCCACAAGAAGGGGGACACCACTCGTAAAACCAAAAGAACCCCTGCAGTAAGATTGGTCCGGCGTGTAATTAAATACGGCACCTCTTCTGCAACTGATTTGACGCAAGCGCTAATGATTTAATTAGCGTAATAAATTATGACTTTTGATTCCGCCGTGTTTTATAGGGGATCTAGTATGGTTTAATTATGCTGAAAATTAAATTAATATTCTATTGTTCTAAGTGAAATAGAATTTAAACCTGAAAGAAGTCGGTGCCAAAAATTGTAGCAAACATGATTCCAGTCACGGTCTGGAATAATGTTGACCATCTTCAAACGTTGGCGACAAGTCAATCATCTTGCCGGCGAAGGTTAAATTACTAGAGGACTGATGGTGGCTGTGTTGTTGCTTGCTACATTGATGTTATCTCGGTCCTTTTTGTTGTTAGTGGGTATGTCGGTTTGTGGGTGTGTAGGTCAGTGTGTGAAAGTAGGGCATGTGTTTCAGTCAGTATGTGAAAGTAGGGCATGTGTTTCAGTCAGTATTTGAAAGTAGGGCCCAGTCAGTGTGTGAAAGTAGGGCATGAGTTTCAGTCAGTATGTGAAAGTAGGGCATGTGTTTCAGCCAGTGTATGAAAGATGGACATCTAAGTAGGTCAGTGTGTAAAAGTAGGGTACGTGTGTCAATCAGTGTGTGAAAGTAGAGCATCTGTGTCAGTGTTTGAAAGAATGAATTCTATGTATGTCATTGCCTGAAAGTAAAGTATATGTGTCAGTGCGTGAAAGAAGAACATCTAGGTAGGTTCTTGTGTAAAAGTAGGGCACGTGTGTCAACCAACATGTAAAAGTAGGGCACGTGTGTCAATCAACATGTAAAAGTAGGGCACGTGTGTCAAACAACTTGTAAAAGTAGGGCACGTGTGTCAACAAACATGTAAAAGTAGGTCATATGTGTCAACCAACGTGTGAAAGTAGGCCAAACGTGCGGATCTGTATCTAGAGCAGGCGCACTGACACACCAGACGAGTAAAGCTCAAAACGACGAGGAAACATGCCTTGAAGTCTGCACGTTTACATGACACGTGACCACACGTGACTCTCTCTGTTCCGCTTCCCACTTACGTCATCAGCCAACCGGTTCTAGCTGGATCACGCACACTTTGGGGATCCGGACAAAATTTGAAGGTGTGGGAGGTGGGGGGGGGGGGAGTTGTCTTATGTTAACCTGGCTCTAGCAACCACGGTTTTAAGGCAAACTGACACATTTGTAATAAACACGAGGAAAACTTTTCTACACACCTTTTTACACGTGCTAATTAAATCCTACACGAGGAATGCTAATCTACACACTTAAATCCTACACCTCGGTATTACCGGTGATGTAAACAAAGGGTGTCACTCCCCCCCCCCCCCTCCGCCAACATCATAGGCCTATGTAATAAAACTATCTGGAATTTTGTAAATCCCCCCCCCCCCCCAACCGGAATATGTCTAATTATGTATGTAACTAATTTCTATTAAACTAATTGAAAAAAGTAAACTTTATAATCACAACTCGTTATGTTTTGTTTTGATGTCATCCCTTTGGGCGGTTTCACCTCCCCATCCCCTCCGCCACAACGTAGAGACGCGACTGACTACAAATTGCACCACCACAAATTGCACCATCACATATAGCACCAGCACATACAGCATCAGCAGCAGTATTAACATTACAGCAAATCTCAACAAAATAAGATACGCAATCCACTTTATTATAATTCATTGTTTTGTTTGCTTTATGTTTTATTTACTCGGTATTTTAAATACTCGAGTCTAATTCTTGAACCCGTATCAATACATTTAACCGTTCTGCTTAAAACATGAATTAATCGCATACTTCAATAACCCATACTAATCGAATAAAAGCCCAACAAAATAAACCCAGAATCAACCAAATTTTTTTTCAGTATCATAGACATATTTTGTTCTCTGTTTAAAAACAAACATATTTTTATTGTTTTAGTCTAATATTCTAGTTTTATATAGGATCAATCTAAAGCTGTTTTCTTATAATATAGCACATTATTTATAGAGATTAAGAATACCCCCCCCCTCCCCGACACCTAAATCCCATAGCATTTCGTTAATTGTAGAGGCCCTACGCGTAGATGTTCGTTAAATTGACCGCAAAAACTGATTGACGTCACGAATGTTTTTATCAAGACCAACAAGTCAGATTCTTTGTGTTAAACTATGGGAAAACACACGTATTCTCTCCCCTGCCTCAAGAGAGTGGCTTCCCTGTAGCCAACAGTGATATTGCCAGTGATTTGTCTGTAACTTTTATAGTTTTAAACCTCCATTTAGGACACGATACCTGTAGATATATTAATATAAATAACACGTTAATTTTCAATGTGTTATGATAGCCCTCATTAATTAAATATATTTATGTAACTGCTCAGAAAAAGTTGTCATAATTTTAAAATTTATTTTAGATTCCGTAAAGTAGGTCGACCTAAGGAACAGTTAAATAAACACAAATAAAAACTTGTTTGTAAAGGATTCCATTTTTATAACACAAGAACAGCAACACATGTGGTGTGGTGTATAATGTCGAGTCGTTTATTTGAAACGAAACCGACACGGTAAACAGTTGATTCAAATCTCGTCATTGTTTTCACCCTCATGAGTACCTGGCCAGAAAACATAGTGGAATGAAGCAGTTCCATTGTGGCTAGTGTTTCTTTCTCCGTGGGTGTGGGTGGTGTGAGGAGGGGGTAAACACTGGTAAAAGTATACATTTTCTATATTTATTCTATTTCTGGTGGAGGGTGGGGGGAGGGTAAAGCGCCCAACCAACATTCCTTCAAAGGGGAAAAGGCTAGTGTGCAACTTGTATTGTGCGTGCGCGGTGTTCTAAAAGTCTTATACAAGGATATATGTGTTTTACAAAACAAATACGCGGCAGGTTCAAAACTACTGCGCGGCCGCGCAACCGCGCAGCTTATAGGGAACACTGCCCCCAACCCACCCCAAAGATATGCCTAAAAGAAACACCGATTGTAGCGTCATTATTTCCCGGTAATATAAGGACGATACGGTCAGTGTGTTTTTCAAACATTTTTCTCCGGGGGTTGTGGGTAGGGGAGGAGGGCACTTGAAATTTGTTTTTGTGGGGGGGGGGGGGGGGGGTAGAACTGGTTAAGGTATATATATCAATTTTATATAAATTATATATTCATTATATTTCGTCCGTGGGGTTGGGGTGGGGGTGGGTGGAGGGCTTGCTTCGGTGGGGGAAATTTCGGAAAGAGTGTGTATGGGGGGGGGGGGGGTAGGGAAAAGATGCAAACATTGTGTCGTTCTATATTTACACAAATAGTCGACTAAATTTTTTTTATTTTTAGATGGAAGATAACCGTGGACCCTGATCTAGTTGTCTCCCTTAACTTCAACTACATGAACGTCGGTGTGTACACGGACCTTCAGTGTCAACACGCCTGGTTGGACGTGTACGACGGGCCGAATGCAAGCTCGCCCCTGATTGGTCAATACTGTGACGCCTTCGTCCCGCTGGAGCTTCGGTCTTCCTCCAACACGATGTTCCTGCAGATGGCCGCCTCTGACAACATGGATGGGAAACTTGGGTTCAAGGCCACATACTACGCTGTTCACAAAGCAGAGGTCGATGGCCGAAAATAATATTAAAAAAAATATAACACAATGACACGTGGTTCGATAAAATGGGTGACCAGAAAGATGCGCAACGGAGAAAAAGCGCAACGGAAAAAAGCGCAACGGAAAAAAAGCGCAAAAAAAGTTGCGCAACGGAAAAAAGCGGCAAACAGAAAAAAGCGCACACAGAAAAAAAGCGCAATTTTTCTGTTCGCGCTGTTTCCGTGTGCTCTTTTTTTCTGTTTGCGCTTTTTCTGTTTGCGTTTTTTTTCTGTTTGTTTTTTTCCGTGTGCTCTTTTTTCTGTTTGCGCTTTTTCTGTTTGCGTTTTTTTTCTGTTTTTTTTTCCGTGTGCAATTTCTTATGTTTGCGCTTTTTTTTGTACTAGCCTCTAACTTAACCAACTGATGTTAATTTTGTACTACTCTCTAACCTAACCAATGAATGTTTTTATCCTCACGTCTCCATAGAAACAACAACGACAACAACTAGCGGGCCCTACCCCCCGGGCTGTGACGGGACACCATTACGTATGACGTCAGACAGCGGCGTGGTGACGTCACCGTTCTACGACAAGGTGGCTCCCTACAGGGACAACATGGACTGCGAGTGGGCCCTCCAAGGCCCCCCGGGTCAAACCTTTCTCGTCACTTTCCACGACTTCGATATCGAACACTCGGGTGGATGCGAGTACGACTACTTACAGATATTCGATGATGTCGATTACCTTGTCAAACCTCTAGCTGAAAACGGATCGATACACACCGAGGTTAACATATTCGATAACGACACATGGCCCTCTAGTATCGCCAACTTGACAAAAATAGTATCGTTCTGCGGACAAATGCTGCCGTACGACGTCGAGACCAACAGCTCTAGAATCGTAATCAAGTTCCACAGCGATTACCAGTATGGCGGGTACGGATTCAACCTGTCCTACTCTACACGATACCCCCGAGGTAAGCATAGTATCGATGTTTAAATATCGCTTCGACTATCATGATACAAAGATATAATTTAGTCTACTTTAAAACACTATTAAACTTAAATAGGTGATACATTATTACCAGAAACACTACAGGTCTAAAAAAAATCTCTTGCTAACGGAAAAAAAGTTTATTAAAACAAGCTTTCTGTTGATTGATCAGTATCTCTATCTCTGATAAGTGATATTATTTTTGCTCTTAATTTTACCATAACCATACTCCAAATTCTCATCTAACTTGCTTAAACTCAAAGCCCAACTCAACCGATACAATTTGTACGATATAAAGTACATAATTTGCCTAACTAACCCAAACCCTAACTATGTAGGGTTGTACAATGTATCACTGTAGATACACGTAAGTTGACTGTGTAGTAAACAGGCCGACACATGTGTCGTGTAGTTACACGGCTAACACATGTGTCGTGTAGTTACACGGCTAACACATATAGCGTGTAGTTACAAGTCTGACACATGTGTCGTGTAGTTT